GTCTCACATGACAGCCCTTTCTAGTATATATGACTAACCTTCTATAGCGAACAAGGTGCACTTGATCAAGAAGTTGTTCAACATGAAGATGGTTGAAGGTGGTAAGTTTAACAAACATCTAAATACGTTCAACGAGATAGTTGGGTAATTAGAGTCTGTTGATATCAACTTCAAAGACGAGGTCCGAGCACTACTAATTCTAGGGAAGTTACCCAAGAGTTAAAGTGGCACAGTTACAGCGATCAGTAGCTCTGCAGGGAAGACCAAGTTAAAGTTTGATGAAGTTGTGAGCATGATTCTGACTAAAGAAATCAAAAGGCAAACAACATGGGTTTCCACCAATGGTTCGGCATTGAATGTTGAAAGCAGAGGCAAGGGTTCAAATAAGAAGAAGGGCAACGGTAATAGAAACAGAGACAGATCTAAGTCAAGGAATGGAAGGACACAATCTCAAAATTTGAAGAATTCCACAAATCTTAGTGATGTTGAGTGTTGGAATTATGGAAAGAATGGACATTATCGTGTTGATTGCAGACTTCCTGAAGAGGGAACCGAAAGAAAAACTGAAGCAAATGTTGTCTCAGAAGAATCAGATAATGGATTGATATGCTCTTTGGAGAGCAAGGCGGAGTCATAGGTTTTAGATTCCGGCGTATCATTTCATGGCACCTCAAGCAAAGAGCTATTTAATAGCTATGAACCAGGTAACCTTGGCAAGGTGTATCTTGGTGATGATTAGTCTTGCAACGTCATTGGCAAGGGTGAAGTGCAAATCAAGTTAAATGGGTCAGCTTGGAAGTTGAAGAATGTGAGACACATCCCTGACTTTAGGAAGAATCTGATTTTGGTGGGACAATTGTTAGAGGAAGGTTTTGTTACAACCTTCAATGAAGACTAGTGGAAAGTTTTCAAAAGCGCTATCACCATTGCACGTGATAAGAAATCTGGCACTCTCTACACAACTACCAGTGCTTATGGGTCTATAGCAGTTGCAGAAAATAGAAAAGATCACAACCTTTGGCACAAGAGACTAGGTCACATGAGTGAAAGGGGGATCAAGATTATGCACTGAAAGGGGAAACTACCAGGCATACGAGCAATCGATATTGACTTCTGTGAGAGTTGTGTGATGGGCAAGCAGAAGAGGGTCAGTTTCAAGAAAAGTGACAGGGATTTCAGAAAGGAAAAACTTGAGCTAGTTAACACAGATGTCTGGTGGCCAGCCACTATCTCATTCTTTGGTGAAAAATCTTACTTCGTGACTTTCATTGATGATAACACGAGGAAGGTATGGGTTTATGTTTTGAAGTATAAATATCAGGTATTTGATGTGTTCAAGAAGTGGAAGGCCATAGTGGAGAATGAGACAGGTTTGAAGATCAAGAGGTTGAGATCAGATAATGGTGGTGAGTATGAAAACACTAGGTTCAAGAATTTCTATTTGATAACGGGATCAGATTAGAGAGGACTATGTAAGGGACCCCAAAGCAGAATGGGGTGGCAGAACGGATAAACCAAATATTGATAGAAAAATCCAGAAGTATACGCATACATTCGGGTCTACCCAAATAGTTTTGGCCAAAAGCAATCAATACAGTAGCCTATTAGTGACCATGCTAGGGGAAATCTTGACTCTAAGTCACTAAAATACATCTTCATTGGGTGTGGCAGAGATGAGTTTGGTTATTAACTCTGGGATAATCAGAAAAAGAAAATCATCATAAGTATAGATGTGATTTTCAACGAGAAGGTGATGTACAAAGATAGAGATGTAGCACAGTCAACTAGTCCTGTACAGAGTAATCCTAAGTTTGTTGAGTTGGATGATTATCCAGAGAACATTGACGCAGAGCAGACAGATAAGGGTTCTTGGCCAGAACTCACAAAGCATAGTTCACTGCGAATTCCAACTCCTAAGCCTGCACCTAAAAGGTCCATGCGACCTCATTTACCAAATCAAAAATATTTGGATTATATGTTGCTCACATATGATCATGAGCCTGAATTCTATGATGAAGAATGTCAGGTTGAAGATGCTAGTAAGTGGGAGTTTGTAATGAAAGATGAGATAAAGTCCCTTATCTTCAACAAAACATGGGAACTAGCCAAGTTGCCTATGGGGAAGAAAGCTCTTCACAATAAATGGGTGTACAGGGTGAAAAAAGAATATAATAGTTCCAAGAGATACAAGGATAGAATGGTGGTCAAAGGCTTTCATCAAAAGCAAGGCATTGACTACACATACATTTTTTTCCCGGTTGTGAAACTGAGTACCATTCGTTCAGTTTTTAGCATTGTTGCAGCAAAAGGGTTGTACCTTGAGTAGTTAGATGTAAGAACTGCTTTCCTCCATGGTGACCTAGAGAATGAGATTTACATATAACATCTGGAGGGTTTTTTAATCAAAGGGAAAGAAAAACTAGTGTGCAAGTTGAAGAAAAGCATGTATAGTTTAAAGCAAGCCTCGAGACAGTGGTACAAGAAGTTTAATGGTTTTATGAAGTGACATGGCTACAATAAGTGCAACGCTGACCATTGCTGCTACTTCAAGAGACTCAAACCAAGTTTCATTATCCTTCTACTTTATGTTGATGACATGTTAGTGGCAGGTTCTAATTTTGAAGAAATTAGCAAATTGAAGAAGTAGTTGTCTAGTGAATTTGAGATAAAGGATCTTAGTGCAGCAAAGCAAATTCTTGGGATGAGGATTAATAGAGACAAACAGAAAGGTACTTTGCAGTTGTCTCAGGCTGGGTACATTTAACGGGTTCTGAAGAGGTTCAAAATGAATAATGCTAAGGCAATAAGTACTCCCTTAGCTAATCACTTCCGATTATCTCAAGATCAGTGTCCAAAGACTGAAGATGAGAAAAACTTCATGGCTAAAATTTCGTGTGCCTCAGCCATTGGAAGTTTGATGTATGTCATGGTGTGCACAAGGCCAGACATTGCATATGCAGTGGGGCAGTAAGTAGGTTCATGAAGGATCCAGGCAAGCTACACTAGGAAGCAGTAAAGTGGATATTGAGATATCTACAGGGTGCCACAGACAAATGCCTATGTTTCAGAAGAGGCGAGGTAAAGTTACACGGTTATGTAGATTTAGACTTTGCTGGTAAGGTGGACCACAAAAGAAGTATTACTGGGTATGTGTTCATGGTGGGTACAACTGCAGTTAGTTAGGTTTCGCAAATATAGAGGATTATAGCGTTATCTACTATAGAGGCAGAGTATGTGGCGATGACAGAGGTCAATAAGGAGATGATTTGGTTACAAGGTTTGTTGACAAATTTAGGATTCGAACAGGTGAAAAATGTTTTGCACAGTGATAGTCAGAGTACGATATATTTGGCAAAGAATTCAATATTTCATTCAAAGACCAAGCATAGGACTTGAGTATCATTTCATCATATCTTTGCTAGAAGATAGGGTGTTGACAGAAAATACTTGGCACTAAGAATCCAGCTGACATGTTGACCAAGATAATGACCATAGAGAAACTGAAGTTGTGCGCAACTTCAGTCGGTCTTCTAGCTTGAAGACAGAGAGAAGTGCACTGACATGCATGGGACATGCATGAGAAGAAGATGGAATGGGTTTACAAGTGCTCCAGCCTCAAAGTGGGAGATTGTTGTGTTTTTTTTTTAGAGTCTGATCACGTGATTACGTGAAGGATTTGGGAAACTAATGATTTCAATATTTTTTGGCTACTGGCGTATTGGAACCAGTTCAGAGATTTGGTACCGGTTCCACGATAGCCAAATCAAGGAAATGTTGAGATCAGCACTGTCCAGTCGGAACTGGTAGCCACTTTTTTATACCAGTTCAAGAGTGTCAGAACGTTGCAGAAGTTTTAGAAACAACTTGAACTAGTTCAAGAAAGGCTGAACCGCTTCAACTCTTCTAGGAAGCTACGTGATTTACTTTCCTTGTTGGTTTTGAACTCTACAAAAGGTGATTCTTGTAGGACAAGTTGTGTTCCATTGTATTGGGGCTATATATATCAACCCTAATCAGTTTTTAGGGTGTGCGAGAATTAGAGAGAAATTATACGTGTTGTATGATTAATTTGTGCCAACACAAGAAAGAGCAACAGAGAGATTGAGAGAAAATTCTCCATTGTAATTCTTCATCTTCTTCATAGTGAAGTTGTTCGGTGTGCTCCATGGACGTAGCCCTAAGATTTGGGTGAACCATAAATATCTTGTCTTCTTGTGTGTGATTTTTCTTTGTGATTGCTTGTGATTATTTCTCGAACAGCGTTATTATTTACGTTTCCGCCACAACAACTGATATCAAATCCGGCTAACTGTGCAGAGCAACTCTAACACATTTATTATCCAGAGATGCACCATCTATAAGAAAAGAAAAGAAAAAAAAAAAAAAAAACACTTCACTAAACAGCTACATAATAATTCTTATTCTAGTGTTCTATAATAATTAAAAACAAAAAAGTAAAGAAAGCATAGCAAAAACTACTTAAGAATGATCAGTACTCTCTTTCAAGAGATATGACACATCAATTCTTTGGACAAAAAGGTCACAACAAATGCTTGTCAGCTTCACTTGGTTACCTGAGCCAAAGCACAGTATGACATTCAAAATTTCTCAAGATACTACGTATATTGCATTAAACAAATTTTGCAAATTAAACTATCTTACCAATGGCTTATTATATATGTTGCAAGTAGTCTAAAGTAAAGTTGTTTCCTATAAGACTGCGGTAAAGCTGCACCAGTGACCTAATCCATTTTACTAAACTAATCCATAGAACATTTGAGGTGACATATATGATGAAAATTTTAATATAAATTCCTCAGTTTGTTGGGGTCAAAAACAGTCCCACTGTATTTGGTAAAAAAAAAAATCTGTACCATTGAGGTTGAGTTGAAAAATCAAAGTTTAGTTGCTCACTTTCACGGAAGCTTCCTCTGTGGCTCCCACCAATGGTTCTTTCCTTTGCTCGCCTTCCCTTTTATCATTTGACACCTTCCTCTTATCCTCCTTTTTGCTCCTTTCCTTTGTCTTCGATCTTTCAGTGCAGTAATCAGTCTAGTTCTTGGGGGATTTTGCGAATTTTAGGTAACCTTTTACAATTGAACATTCGTTACAAGATCATTACATGGATCATTAATCAATTATTATTTTGTATGTTCTGTTTCTGTTTTATTTGTTTTTTTCCTCGGTAATTTCTCTGTTTCTGTTTTATTTGTTGCTGTAAGTATATATAGAGTATTTCTTTATCTGTATCCAATTGGCCATTCATAAATTTTAAATAAATATGGAATGTAAATAAGTATAATTAAGTTTGAATATATAAATTTAGTAAAATGGAAAATATATATGGAGATGTAATAAAGATCGAAGGTCAAGAAATAACAAAATAATTTTTTTGCATCTAGGCTCAATTCTTTAATTGTGGGAAGATTAAAGCTGATGTTGGTTAAGTTGAAGAGTGCTTCTCGCCTGTGCGATCAAAGGAGAAATTAAGTTCAAAGTTTCACAAACACAACAATTATTGCATATCCATGCTTTATAGGATAGAATGTTTGTCAGTTTTAAAAAATAAATTGTTCATAAAATGAGGACAATTAAAATGCGTATGTTGAGATGGATTTACGTCTAAGACAACAAAGGGAAAAATTTGAAATTAAAATAACATCAATTAGACATAAAACTAGAGAAAATCTACTAAACATGATTTTAGTAATGTGCAGCAAAAACCAACAATTGCACTAGTGAGGAAAAGTAATACTCTTTATAGATGGCAATGATAGTGAGATGAAGACAAACTCAACACAAGTCCATGTAGTGTGTAGTTTCAACCCTAGAAAGAGCAACCGGTGAAATAACATTCATGTATCATACGACAAATAATTGAGATGAAATTTTGTTGAGTCGAATTGTGCTAAAACCTTTGTGAAGCCACTTCGAAGCATTTTGTGTTTGGATTCTTTGTTAAGTGTGTTTCCATTTAACCCTTGCATTATGCGTAATTCATTAAACCATATCCTTCAGTATTTTCCTTATGTACTTTGGTTCACATATGGGATTTAATTGGCTTGGCTTATTTGAGTACATATAATATTGTTGGTTTATTTTTTTTTATTGACATCATACACAAATATCGGTTGTTTCTGTACAAATTACATATATCCCTTGTTCATCGATCTCTTAGAGCGTTGTTCAATGGCATGTATGGGATCCCAAGAAACCTCCTCAAGTTGATATTCTTATCACGTGTTCTTGAGTTTCAGAGGTGAAAACACCCGGAATACCTTTACTGGTCAACTTTATACAGCTCTACGACATGCAAGAATACGCACATTTAGGGATGATGATGGGCGAAAATTGATTTACTAGGCCCCAAATGGTCGTCGGATTTGAGGCCAGGGATAGTGGTCAATCTCGTATTGGTAAAGTCGGTTAGCGGTTTTCAGTGTGAGTTCGGTTGGGCCGAGAGTGTGGTTAGGAAAACATGACATTACATTGCATAATGGTATGTTTATGTTGATTTTGGCTTATTGGCATTCCTGTGAATGATCCCGGCTCCTTTTATCTATTCTTTATATGTTAATTCAAGGGAGCCCAAAGCTAACGCTTTAGGCATCTCCTACTGAGCCATTGTGCTCACCTCTTATTTACTATTTTCAGGACATGGCAAGGAAGTTATAGACAACACACCCCCTCAAGCTTAGAAGTGTAGAAACGGACTTTTGATATCATTTGTAATAGATTAATATAGACAATGATCTTGTAATATAACTATATTCTTTTGTAAGCTTCAAGTGAAGCCCTTGTATGTATAGCCATGGAGGCCTCGTCATTTTTGTAAACCTATTCTTTTGCTCATATATGAATGGTTTGGATTAGTTTTGATTCATGAATGATGTATGAACGATATTATTTTGATGATTCAATGGCATGTTTAGAGGTTTATGATGTCTATGGAGCTTTACATTTCACATTTATGTATTTTAGTTTATAACTGTACGGGTTAGAAAAGCTATCTACCCGATCATTTCACCTTTGGGCATTATCTAATCGGTTAGATAGGGATGTCTACCCATTTAGATGAATGGACAATATGTGGCTTTGATGGGTTTCTCCCATCTAACTGGTTAAATGGAGTCTTCTAACCGGTTAGATAGGATTTGGGTGGTCAACTACCCAGATAGAAGATCCCATCTACTCGGTTAGATGAATAGGGAAGAGAAGGGGTTAGATGATTTTCTTCATTTGACCGGTTAGATGTGATCTACAGTTGAAATACCCTACAGTTGAAATCTTCTAACCAGTTAGATGAGATCTGAAATTTTATAAGCCTACTAAACCATTCATCTGCCCGGTTAGAAGAAATCTTCTAACCGATTAGATGAACTGATATTTGCATATTGACTTTATATTTTAATATAATTACCCAATGACCCTAGACTCCAACCAAAGCAGAGAATGGCCAGAGAAAATGACAATTTTACCCCTAATGAGTTGTGAAGCTATAATAAATGTGCCAAATAACTAGCTTACCCTTGTTGGGCCTTAAACCATTATTTGACCATAGGCAATGACCATTATACCCCTATGAACTATATGTAATGTTTCCAATTTTTACCATTTTTCATTTTCTATGATTTTTTTTTATTTTTTAGGGTATTTTTGTCCTGTCTCGTTTTATGTGCCAGACACCGTGAGGTGTGCCAGATGTGTTCGAGAGTTGATTGGGGCATTTTCTTGAGTTCAGGACTCTTGTAAATGCATTGGTTGCCATTTCAGTATTTTTTCATTTTTCAGACCGGGAGATCCCAGGTGGGACCCGCTATCAGGGTTGTTGAGTACGTGGATTGTGTTCTGGGTCCATTACATTTTATGCATGTTTACTCAATGTACATTGGTGTGGTCACATGTTTATATTTGTGGTTTTAATATGCTTAATGTGTATATATATGTTAATGTTTAAAAATAAAAAAAATAAAAAATAAAAAGAGTGAGATATTTGTTATTTGCATGCGCCCACAAAGCACTAAGCTTATATTATATCACCACACATCATTTTGTGGCCATTTTCTTCTCCCAAAAATGTGATTAAGCTTTCTCTCTCTACACAAAGCTTCTTCTCTCTCTAAACTTATACTTTTAAGCCCTGATTTCTTCCTTTTACACTTGGATTTCAACTTTGCCTTCAATGGCAAAGTTGACAAGCTTGATGAGGCCTAAATTTTGATTGGAGCTTATTTCAGTTTACGGTACTTTACCATATTCGAATTTTGCGCTGAATTTGGGAGTTTCTTCATTATCTGAGGTAGGGGTGTTCTAATGCATGTGTTCTTTGATCTTTGTGACTCAGCCCTCTTTATTTATTATATAGCATACATAAATCATGTTAAAAGTTCTTGATGAATGATCCCATGATGTAAATATGAGTAAGCTTATGTGTTAGTTGCTATCTTGTGAAGATGTATGTCTAAAGTGATAACCATGCCTACCTTTGATGTGTGAGATTTTGTTATATGAAAGCATGTTATACTTTCCTTGTACCAATTCTTTTTAAGGCATGTTATGTATGCTTTTGTGGTTGGTTGCAAAGTGTGGAAAATTATATTTATTGTCGTGGTTGTTGTTGTGCAGTTGTTGTAATTGCCATGTTTTCCCCTATGCCATGATCCATTATTTCTTCATACTATGTTTTGTTTGGATTCACAGGGTCATTAAGAGGTGTGTCTTGCATACCTCCTACTCAGCTGTTGTGTTCACCCCTCTTATCTTAAACATTTTTAGGGTTTTTAGGAGCGGCAGAATGGATGAGACGTCTTCACATGCTTATACATAGTTAGAGAATTTATAAATTGAAGTTCATGTACCCATGTTCAATGTAATTAAATTTATCTTATTTTATAATGATGTAATTTAATCTCATTATGATATATGAATGTTCTTTTATCAATGTGAACATGTTTATAGTTGTTTAGGTTAAGGATTTCATCATATCAAAAGTTTCAAGTGCTAACTATGTGATGCCAAGTTGTTCAAACATTCAAATAGTGAGAAAAATGCATTTCTAGGCTATTTCGGTCGACCGGTATGCCATTTAGGTTGACCGGCACCATTTGAAATTAAAACCAGTAGCCTCGGACACTCCAGAGCCACAACCAATCAACCAATGGGTCATTTCGGTTGATTGATGAGTCATTTCAGCCAACTGGAATAGCCTTCATGGTCTGCCGAAATGAAAACTGTGACAGTTTTTAATCCCTGACTTTAAATGATCATATCGTATTCATTTTAACTCCAAATTGGGTTAAATTTAAGTCTAAATTCAAGGATTTTAAGTCAGATTTCAAATGAAATTAATTTCACTCAAAAATTACAATCGTACAAAAAGTTATGACCTTTTTAGTGTGGACTACTCCGGTATTCTTTGAAAAACTAAGGGAGCAATTGTGTGAAATCCTCATTCTCATATCCAGGACATCGTGCCATGGGTTTAAATGACCCTTATGACTTATGTTGACCTATATAAACCCATTTAGAGTTATATTATTTATTACCACACCTTAGTTAACCAATTTACCCCTAAATGTTCTCGGGTTCGGGCAAGGACTCGGCTAACAATTCGAACCCACGAGTTCGGGTTGTTACAAATTTTGAATTAGAGCCTTAGGTTTGAAAACCTAAGGAGGACGGGTAGGGTTGATTTAGATGGTTTTAGAATTGGGTCTGATGTAAATGGATGCTTGTGCGGTTATTACTTGTTTAATTTGAAAGAATGATTTATCGCTATGTGTTTACTTGTGATTTGATTTATGAATTCATGAACTAGTAAATAAAATAAAGCATGCTAAATGATAACGTGATCATTGTTATTAAGTTTATTGTTTGGTGGATGTGAAAGCATGCTTGTTTGCTAAATACTTACATGAAATGACTTGTATGATTAATGAAATGGTTAAATTTGTTTAAAATATGCCAAATTGTTTGATGTTAAATGTTTATGTGTAACTGATTATATGGTTAAGTTTGCTTGATACATGCTTGATTTGTTACATGTTTACTTGTTAGTTGTTTACTGTAGACGAAAGCATGCTTAATCGACTGCGTACCTAATTGTTAAGTGTTTACTGTCTATGAGAGCACATACTAAATGATGTGATGACGTTTATTTGAGCACGATAAATATGATCTTGTTTTTAGACATAGTTGCATGTTTAGGTTTACATTGTGGTCGGTCATCCACTAGGGAGTGGATGTAGGCATACTTGTTTGTTTCATTGTTGACAGGTTTGAGTGTTCATCGCAGTGCTATGTGTTGGGTTACGGAGGGTTCTGACCCACTTATGCAATGGGTTTGATCATTCCTATGTTTATAAATGTTTAGTTCTTATCGAACGGATGATGTGAGCACCATAGCTGTGACGACCCTGGTTTTTAGACCAGCGCATCCTGTGATGAACCGAAGATTGACCCGATAACGAATCCAGATGCGGAAGTAAGAAACAAGACAACTGTCTCCCGAGGCACAACACACCGCTAAGACACTTTGATAACCATCCATGAGGTCGTGAAACTCAATGAGAATTGACGCGAAAGCAAAAAATCGAAAATGTGACGAATAAGCCCCCGGGGGCAAAATGGTCATTTTACATGGAAATGACGTCCCAGAATGTATATCATTCCCAAAACACATCCATAACTTCCCATGAAGTCACGGAACTCAAAAGAATGTAGCGAAAACGGATTACAAGAAAACCGGACAAAAATAGCCCCAAGGGCAAAATGGTCATTTCTGAAAATATAAAATCGGATTCTACCGAGCACACCACTGGGAAGACATCAAAAAATTAATCAAGTTAGACTCAAAAATCACTTGATTCGGAGTCCGGATGGAAGAGAAAAGTCAAAACAAAGTTTTGACATCGCAGCGGCTGTGAATAGTAATCTGGGCAAAATGCTGAACTCGTGTGGCGTTTTGAAACACTAAACGATGTTTTCTGGAAAAACACGAAGAAGAAACCCCCCTCAAAATAATTTTTCCAAGCTAACTATATTGAAAGAAAATTTTATTTTTGACGTTAAATCCCCAAAATGCCCTTACAACAGACTTTTTCAAATAGTGCAAGTGCGCGCAGAAAATCATATTTGACACGGGGTTTTCGGGTCTGAGACGATATTTTCTGGAAAAATGTTGTGAAGAAACCCCCCCTGAAATCACATTTTCTATGTGACCATTTTAATACCAAAATTTATTTTTCAAAGGAAATTCCCTAAATGCCCCTAGATCAGTTTAGACCAAGAGGATTAAAAATTGCTACAATGACTGTCTGCAACTGAGAGCAAAAACGGGTTAGTAGATGAATTTTTCTGAAAAAACACGAAAAAGAAACCCCTCCCGAAATCAAATTTTCTACCCGGCATTGTGGACGGAAATAAAGAAAATGCACTGTAAAATGTCAAGAATGCCCCTCCATGAAATCTGGTCATGAGGGTCATAAAGCTACTAAATGTAAAACTGAAAGCTGAACTTTACAAGCGATTTCCGGTACCAAGACGATATTTTCTGAAAAAACACGAAAAAGAAACCCCCTCCCCCCTCTAAAATCACATTTTCTAAGTGACCATGTGAAGATCAGAATTTATTTCTCGAAAGAAAATCCCAAAATGCCCTAAAATCATATTATGCAATAAAAATGTAAAATGAGTCCATAAGAAGCTCAAATCACCAAGGATGAGGTTTTTCTTAAAAACAATCATGCACACAAACGTAACTTACCTATTAGGATGTGCTACAATGGTCCACAGCTTAAAAATACCACCGATGCAAAATTTGACCCCCCCAACAGCCAAAAGGGCGAAAATGCACATAAAATGAAAATTTTAAAATTTAAAATTAACAAATGATTTCAAATTACCATTTGGCCCTTGGCCACACTTCGTGCATGATTAATGAGACCT